GCAGTGAGACGTTATGGCAATGTGTGAATACCCAGAGGACATGCAGTGAGACGTTATGGCAATGTGTGAATACCCAGAGGACATGCAGTGAGACGTTATTCAGTTTAATCACATCAGTAAGAAGCCTTTATTGAAGCTGACAGGCTTGCCCCTTGTCCCCTTGCAGTGCTTCGACCTAGAGTCCTACCTGCAGCTCAACTGCGAGAGGGGGACCTGGCGCTGTCCCGTCTGCAAGTATGTCAGCCCTGTTTCCATTTCACACCCTGCTGCTCCATTTCATGTAGAATTCATTGAACTTGGGCTTGACTGCCTATTTCTGTATTTCACAGTAAAACAGCTCTTCTGGAGGGTCTGGAAGTGGACCAGTACATACTGGGAATCCTTGTCTACATTCAGAAGTAAGTGCTTTTTCATGTGTTCTCTTGATGCTGTTTTTCCCAGCATTCCTGCATTGCTGTTCTGATTTCCGGTTAGCTCTCCCTCTCACTGCCCTATTCACCCATTTTGATTGGCCCTTCTCCTTTGCCCTGCTCCAGCTCTGAGTATGAGGAGATCTCCATCGACCCAGTATGCAGCTGGAAGCCGGTACCGATAAAACCCGACCTGCACCTCAAGGAGGAGCCGGATGGTCCGGCGCTGAAGCGCTGCCGCACGCTGAGCCCCAGTCACATGATCCTGCCCAGCGTTATGGAGATGATTGCGTCACTTGGGCCCGCCCCTTCCCCGTACCCATCTTTGCCACCAGGTGGCAGCAGCAGCACACCTGACTACACCAGCCAGGGTTTGCAGAATGTTTTGTAGACACTTCTTGGACAATGTTCTGCGTATTGTAGTCATTCTCAACCGTTTTATGTTAAGTAGGCGTGTTTTAACTGTATACAGTTCTGTATTTTTTAATCTTTTTCACAGCGGCTTTACAGGCTTTATGAGGCTTTTGAAAAAAGGAACAAAAGATGGAGTTAACTTTGAGCGTGTACCTTTTGTCCTCTCTTCAGGACCCAGTTATTCGAGCCAGCCTGAATTCACAGATTTCCCCAATGCCCCCAGCGCCCCCAGCATTGGCGAGTTCGCTTCCGGGCCGCCCCCCGCCCCATACCAGGCTGACCCGCCCAGCGGGCTTCTCACTCCCGACAAGGGGCACCCCATGCCCACACAGGTACTCCCGCCGTAGCTGAACGCTGTGCGTCACTGGTCTGTCGGCATGGC